CTCTCTCTCTCTTACACTCTCTCCCAACCTTGTGTACTTCTCTGCACTGAGCCAGTTGCTCAAACAGACAAGCCTGTTTACAGTTGTTGGTGAAATGCCGCTCCGCTGTCTTCATAACAGTCAAAGCATGAGACTGAAGTTCCCACTGTGGGTCAAAATAATGCGCTGTGATGTGCAGTCGACACATTGGATGCGATCCGAATCATCTCACGCAGCCCCTCTTCCTCCACAATGTTAAAAGAAGGAGCGTTACTCCATCAGCCCACTGCTAAAGTGTCTAGAGGACATAAAGGCCTGGATGGCGTGCAACTTCTTAAAACTGAATGAAGGAAAAACAGAAGTAATGGTTTTTGGTGGCACCACTTCTGTAGACCTGGGTTCCCTGGCTCAGTACACCAAGCCCACCATTACGAACCTTGGCATTAAAATGGACCGTGAACTAAAACTTGAGAGTCAGATTAAATCGGTGGTAAAAACAAGCTTTTCTCACCTGAGGCAGCTAGCCTGAGGCAGCTAGCCTGAGGCAGCTAGCCAAAGTGAAACCTTTTCTCTCCAGACAGCAGTTTGAGACAGTAATCCACGCCTTTGTCACCACTCGGCTGGATTACTGTAACTCTCTCTACATGGGGGTCGGTGGGTCCTCCCTCGCTCGTCTGCAGCGGGTGCAAAATGCAGCAGCAAGGCTTTTAACTGGCACACGGAAATATGACCACATTTCCCCCATGTTGGCTTCGCTCCACTGGCTGCCAATACATATTAGGATTCATTTCAAAATCCTTTTATTTACTTTTAAATCCCTAAATGGCATGACCCCACCATATCTTTCTGAGCTGCTCCACCCCTACACGCCCACCCGCCCTCTCAGGTCAGCGGATCAACTGCTCCTGAATGTGCCCAGAACCAAGTCAAAGCTCAGAGGGGGCCGTTGCTTCTCTGTAGCGGCTGCCACACTGTGGAACGATCTGCCCCTGCACATCAGACAGGCCGCCACACTGCCTGCTTATTGCTTATTTATTTGAAAACAAATGGTCCAGAGTAGAGGTAATAATGTTCATCCTGTGCTCTCTATATCCAATAATCGTAACAGAGTCAACATTAGTCCACAGAGAGTACAGATGTGTCCACAGAGAGTACAGATGTGTCCACAGAGAGTACAGATGTGTCCACAGAGAGTACAGATGTGTCCACAGAGAGTACAGATGTGTCCACAGAGAGTACAGATGTGTCCACAGAGAGTACAGATGTGTCCACAGAGAGTACAGATGTGTCCACTTTCTGGTTAAAACTGACATGTTTGATCCTGAAATGGACTCAGCATCTTCACTAACCCCCAAAACCCTCCAGAACTGTCCAAATCTGCCCAGCCATTTCTAACTTCTTCGTGGATTCATCTTCTTATTATAGACACATGCATTTCCAAACATTCGGTCTACCAACGCTGTAAAATGTATTATCTCTTACACACGGCACCTATTGCACTTCTGTCCGTCCTGGGAGAGGGATCCCTCCTCTGTTGCTCTCCCTGAGGTTTCTCACATGTTCCCTTTAAACTGTGGGTTTTTTCTCCGGAAGTGTTTCCTTGTACGATGTGAGGGTCTAAGGACAGAGGGTGTCGTTTTCTCATACTGATATTCTGCATAAACTGTGCTGTTATATTTGCTGTAAAGTGTCCTTACTGTAAGGTAATTATTACATGTACAGCACTTTGGCTGAACCAAAAATCGTTTTAAAAATGTGCTATATAAATAAAACTTGATTTGATTTGATTTGATTGAACTATTGTCTGCATGATGCTAATTAACGCAATTTAGGCTAATTGTGCAAATTGCCCAACATATGCAGGTTAGCATCCGGCAGTTTCTATGAGCTGCAAACCAGTACTCAACACTTCTAGGTTCAATAAACTGGCATCTGGACTCTAATCTCTGCAGATCCACAACACTTCACTCAGATGTGTTACCATATTGTAGTGTTGACTCATTTCCCCTTAATTGCACAGCCCTAATTGAAACTCCCCAGTTTAATATCTCTGGGTATTTTCTTTGAGACTTACGTTCACATTTAGAATACATTTCAACTTAATAGAGTGGTGCAGGAATGAGTTCTAAAACCAGGAAGTGAGTCAGCATTTCACCACTTCCTGTTCCCTGGTCTCAGAGCCAATGGGATCTCTCCATAGGATTTTTGAAAATATCTGTAAATAAGGTCTGTGGTTGAGACACATTGAAGAGACGGATCACGTTTTGTTCTAGGACATTAAATCCATCAGCAGTGACCCCACTGGTGATTTCTGAAGAGTTGACGTGTCTGAAAAACGATGGTTGTTACCAAGTGGCTGAATAGGACTACAGAAGTCGTGGAGGACGTTGTACGTCATCGCGCCGAACACGTGAACACTCCTCTAAGTTAGTTAGCCCTGTTCTGCTTGAAAGCAAGTCCCTGTCTCCTGCAAAGTGTTCAAACAAACGCTTCAACTCGTAACATTTAGAATCTGTGTGTCTGAATATGGATCTGAAGTTGGCGTGACGTTGAAGTCGTGCTGATGGACTCGGCTGTAGTTCCTTTATAGCATAACGTTAGCATTTAGCTTCTGGACATTAGAGTTATGATTAGAACATTATAAAAGTAGGGAAGACATGTGGAGATTATCCGGCTGAACAAAACGTGCATTTATCCAACAGGTTCGTTTTCCACAGACCTTATTTCCAGCTATTTTCCAAAATCCTCTGGAGAAATCCCGTTGCTTTTTGTGGAGGGAACCAGCAGCTTACTTCAGGGTAAACACGTCCTCCCTGCACCGCTCTATAGTGCAGCCCTAATTGAAACTCCCCAGGTTTATCTAAATAGGGTTTTCTTTGAGACTTACCTTCACATTTTGGGAGTTCAGGCTCCCACTGGCTGTTGATCCCACAGATTATGGTGGCAGAATTTGTCATCCTGTACCCCTCGTTGCACTTGAACGTGACGGTAGCCTTGTGAGTGTAGGGGCCCCGCGACCCCGACTCCCAATGACCGAACCCAACAACTGGCTCCTTACATTCAACCTCTGCAAGAACAACAGAATACACAGGAAGCAAATTCAGAAAAATGTCCAAAAACAACTGATTTAGATTAAATTAGAGTCAGAGCTGAGATGCAATGGGAACATGTTGAATGAATAAAAGAAGGAGAAACATTATAAAATAATATCAGGGTTTTTTCTAGAAAGATATAGTATGAGGGTACTGACATCATAATTAAGTCCCGCCCACTTTCCAGTGAAAATACAGCATTAGAGTGAAGTGAATAAAAGTGTCTTCACGTCTTAAAGCTGCCGAGTCATATTTTGCTCCTCAAACAACAAATAAATCCAGAGGTTTCTTTACTTCCTCTACAGAGAAAAGGAAAAGAGACAGAAATCTCAGTTTCAGTGTCAGACCCACCGGACATCCATCCCATAATTATTCTCCGTAAAACCAAGCTGTCTCTGCCGTCGCTCTGTTTGATGCTCATATTTCTGGAGTCATTATAGAGTGGCGAAGTCCCTCCCCTTCCGGTGGAGCCCCATGGGACCTTATTTGGGAAAAGTTATGTATTGAAGTCAATGGAGAGAGAAAGATTATCTTTCGATCCCGTTTGAATTGTGCCACGAATTACACATATGATGTTTGTCAATTTAAAAGATAATTTTGCAAGTCAAAAAAAAAAAAAGTGTCGTAAAACTGTGAAGTAACACATTTGTTTGTGTGAAACGCTCAATGAACTACATCTCTGGTCAACAACACACGTCACCAAGATGGCCGTCACTACTGTCATGTCAACAAACGATTGACTACCCTCACAATCACCACAATGAAACACGTCCTGAAGAATGTCATGCAAAGCCTGCCTTCCTTTGATTCTCTCTGAACTGCCTGGTCGTTTTAATGTTTAATGTCAACCATTTGTGCAGATAGCATGAAGTAGAGAAGATCGCCGATGCTAACGTTAGCGTTAGCATTTCTCCCCCGGAATTAAATGGTGTATTATAGAATGATCACACCGGTGACAGTACTATTCAAAGGGTTCACGAAATATGACTACTACTCTTACTGTTTAACATTTTGGGTTACTTAATGTTACTTCATGTTAAGGCTAATAAAAATGACAAGGCTGTAATGCTAACTAACGTGCTAGCTACTAGCTAGGTAGCTAACTTGATCCACACACTCCTCTTTCATCAGACGGGAAGCGAAAGAATGAGCAAGACCCATTGCTGGTATAATAACAACCTGGTACTAAGCACACAGGCATCTTGTTAAAGTTATCTTATCTTAGCCAGCGCCATATAGATAGATTATATCTATATTGCGCTGATCTTAGGTATCTGAATGGTGGAGGTAAACAATTGTGACATCACTTACGCGACTCTGGGATTTGTAGTCTTTCTAGTTACGTGTTTTTCATAGTCTTATATTTCAACAGTTTTACGACAAACTGTGACTTTTTTGACATGGAAATGATTTTTTAAGATTGACAAACATCATATGTGTAATTCATGGCACAATTCAAACGGGATCGAAAGATAAGTTTTCTCTCCCCATTGACTTCAATGCATAATTTTTCCGAAATAAGGTCCCATGGGGCGGAAGTAAGTGGGAGGGACTTCGCCACTCTATTCAGTTTCTGACGAGCAGGAATATTGTTTTCTGGAATCACTTTTACATTTTACGGGGAAAACCTGCGTTTTGGTTTGATGGCGCACGCCGAGAGTAAGAGGGTGCAGACATCCAATAAAAGGATCAAATAAAGATATTAATAAAAACTTAAGATGTTAAAGTAAAATGTCAAAAAAAATTAAGATTTAAAAAATGAACAAAGGAAGTCAAATTAAGAAAGATACGATTAAATAAAATGGGATGAAACGTTTTTTTATAAACATAAGAAAAGAAAAGAAAACGTCTAATAAAATAACAAATTAAAAGGGTTTGGGTGTATTGAAGATTCTAAAAGGACTTACGGACACACTTCGGGGCGGCCGGCTGAAAGACCCCGGTCTCTGAGCAGGACAGAGACTTCGATCCGTTCAGGGTGAAAGGTTCAGGACAGGAGAACTGGATCACCTCTCTGTATTCATACGTGTCTTTGACCGGAGAGAAGCTGCCGATGGTCGGATCCACCGGAGGTTCACAGTGCTTCACTGAAACATTCAATACATGGGAAGAGACGGAGAGTTTCTATGTTACAAACTCAGTAATCACATAGCAGATGCAAGGCAAATACGCTAGAACATTAGTATATTATCCAGGGGAACCAACTCAGATATCATTTTGCGCCAGCCTCTGAGATCTGAGATATTCTAAGAGAGGGCGCAAGTACACATTGTGTATTTATTCTTTATATTTATTACATATGTCGCCCACATGATGTTTTATAAGTTTCTACATCTGAACGTCACCTGGAAGAATCACATGTAAAAAAAACAGGGTAGGATTTTTGGGGGAAAAGTCAAAATTCTGACAAATGAAGCAAACATTTCTATATTTTTTATTAAAAATAAATAATTCTAAGTGCATTATGAGATTTATACGGAAGAGGATCAAAGCCACATGTGTTTTTTCTTTTTTTATTCTGAGAAAGAAGTCAGAATTCAGACTTTTTTGACTTTTGACATCTGATTGGCCGAAGACACTTGCCTCTTAAAAAGATGTATGTGTGAATCTAGTGGCGTCGGGGGAGTCTAAAAAATCCTGAGATTCACACTCAAATGCAGAGATTCACACTCAAATGCAGAGATTCACACTCAAATGCAGAGACTTTGAATGTCAAACATTAGTATTACCGTATATACATTTAAATACTCTACTTTGAATAATTTGTGTTTTCTATCTTTTCTATCTACAACTTCTCCCATTCAGAAATCCGAAATGAAAGCTCCCATGTCATGCTTTTCCGGTTATTACCCGTCCCCTTGTGTTATGAAGGTTGTTCTGCATGTAAACGGTCTGCAGAGTCACAAACCCTCAAAGTACACCCTGTAGCGAGTAAAACTCTAACACAGAAAATACCTCCCCAAAACGCCTCGTTGGAGATTTCTCATTTTCCAATGTTTTCTTCCTGGGCATCGTGACGTAGGGATACCCAGTAGCCACGCCCAGAGCTATGGCCACACCCTCTGCCAGCCGAACATATACTGTTGGAAGCTCAGGTTCAGTTCAAAACTGTGTCCAGTCATGCCAACGAGGGTCTGTTTCCTGTCTTGTGAGGGGAAATCTTCAATGTATGCCTTACCGAGGGCAGAACCACGACGAAGTCAGTGGTTGACATTTCTTGTGCACTGTTCCTTCAGATGTTCGAGCCGGTATTGTACTGTGTGCGCGGCATTTCACGGACCAAAGCTTCGCAAACATTGCAGCGATTCATGCCGGATATGCACAGCGTAGGACACTGAAGGACGATGCTGTTCCTACTTTGTTTGGACCAGCGGGAGATTCGGGTACACAACCTGTAAGTACGCATTGTTGTTTGTGTATTTATGATGTTTAAAACAAACAAGGTATCTACCACGACTGTTTAAATGGGTAAACGTTGTTGGGGCTGCTAAGCCATTGACACAATGCTAACTGGGCTAACTAAGTTGCTAGTGTTTCCATATATCAACTCCAATGCCAGCAGATGGCCTTACATGTATCTCATAGCAGGAGAATGTCTGCATTCACACACAAAATACTCATAGACAGTATACTCCGGGTGATTTACCGTACGGTCAGTCGCGAAACTTAATTACATTATAGTTGGCGTTCCTAGCATGTATGCTACCGAGCTAAACAAGAAGGCTACCAAGAGCTAGACATGCTAGGGAAAACATTGTTTTTATGCCAGCTACAATGATTGACCGAACGTAGCAGACTACCGTATAAGATTGCAATTGTAAACATGTTCTTGCTAGCCTAATATGAACCATTAGCTGTTGTTCATAGTAGGTTGGCATGTTACACTGAACAACTAGCAAACGTAGGTTAGCATATTAATCTAGCTGGCAAGCTAACGAACCTAAAACAACTAAGTTTCTCTAATATTTTGTGATTTGCATTTGATTTCGTCCAGCCAGATCAGGAAACTCCTGGTGTATCCGGCGGACAACACATGACGGGATGACCACTCTGATGCCTCGTCCTAAAAAGCCCCGGCAGCCGCTTACAAAGCTGCGATAGGCAAGATGCCGAAAACGCCTATAAGGGGAGGAATGGATGATATACAGTGTATATATATATGTATATTTACACATGTTCATTTTGTACATTTCTAAAAATAAAGTTTGATTGAAATACTTAGTAGCCTTTCTTCCCTGAATTATTTGCTCCTATAACATATCATCATATATAGCAAACCATGATACAGTAGTAGTTTATTACAGGTAAGAATAACTTACTCTTCTTCTGTTCTACGCCTCAAAGGTCTATAATCGAATCTGTACATGTTATGGAGGTTCTGCAGGGTGTGGGGTATGTATGGTGTATATCTTGGCATACTGTATAATGTTGTGTGCTACTGTTGGTGTTTGCAGCTAGCTGGCTACATCATGTTGTAACTGTCAGCTAGGCCACCTTTCTAATGTCTTTGCAACAAACGTTTTCCACTTCGGTAGGCATCATGGCGCAGTTTCCACAAGTGCACCTAAATAACAACAGTTGTAGGTACAGTTCGGTCAGTTAGCGTATAACATATACGGCTGTACCGACGCCATTGTAAAACTGATGTTCCGCTCAGAGCCGAAAAAAGCACTGTTAGACATGAGCGGAGCCTCTCTGGTGGTTGACTAATCAGAACAGAGTGGCCGAGCTGACCAATCAGAGCACACTGGGCTCACAGGGAGGGGGGGGGGCAGGAGCTCCAACAAGGTGTGTAGGACAGAGAGTGAATACACATACTATACAGAGATGCTGTATGAGAAACCAATGTGAGTTTGGAACATTGCACAATATACATTTATTTTAGTATACCTCAACAATGGAACTATGATCAGTAGAAATGGCCATGACAAGGGACCTTTAAATAAAAAAATCTATTAAAGGTGGGGTAGGTAAGTTTGAGAAACCGGCTCGAGATACACTTGTTGTTATATTCCATGGAATGCTCTTAACATCCCGATAGCAATGAATATCTGAAGTGCTTTGACAAGAAATCCATAAATAAATATCATCTGTGGAAGCTGTAGTACTGTAAAAAGCACGACCAATCATCTGAGCCGGCCCGGCTAAAATAACTGGATGGCCTACCTGCCTGTCAGCCTTCCATCTGTGCACAAACTTATCTCGTGCCCTCATTGGTCATGTGCGCGTTCGTGTGTGTTGGAGGAGGGGCTCTGTAAGGAAGTGGCAGATTTTCTCCGGTTGTGGATTTTCAAATTCTAGCGATCTCGAGCTGGTTTCTCCAAAAGTACCTACCCCACTTTTAATATGTAACAAATATATTCCATTTCAGAGCAGAAGAAACAGCCTTCAAGGGTCCAGCTCTGCACATAAATCATTCAGCAGTGCACAGTGAAGCTCAAACATTCAACTGTACGAACAAGCAATACTTTGAAATGCAAAAGTCTGTGTGTGTGTGTGTGTGTGTGTGTGTGTGTGTGCGCGTGTGTGTGTGTGTGTGTGTGTGTGTGTGTGTGTGTGTGTGTGTGTACGAGAGAGTCTCTTTAATCAATTTGTTCAACTCGAGCGTCACATTCTCGTGACGCGTTCTCGCAGTAGCCAATCAGCACAGATACTTCCCCACACTGCTGTCGAACCTGAGCAACTCCAACTTGTTGTAATAGTATGAGCTGATGTACTCGATGTCCTTCAGCTCAGAGGAGGTAAACTCACAGCGAGCAGTTATGTAATGCAGATATCAATCTGAAGCAGTGAAAGAGAGTCAGAGTGAGTCTCAGCTAGTCTCAGCTTGTCTCAGTTTGTCTCAGTTTGTCTCAGTTTGTCTCAGTTTGTCTCAGTTTGTCTCAGCTTGTCTCAGTTTGTCTCAGCTTGTCTCAGTTTGTCTCAGCTTGTCTCAGTTTATCTCAGCTTGTCTCAGTGAGTCTCAGTTTGTCTCAGCTTGTCTCAGTTTGTCTCAGCTTGTCTCAGTGAGTCTCAGTTTGTCTCAGCTTGTCTCAGTTTGTCTCAGCTTGTCTCAGTGAGTCTCAGTTTGTCTCAGTTTATCTCAGCTTGTCTCAGTGAGTCTCAGTTTGTCTCAGCTTGTCTCAGTTTGTCTCAGTGAGTCTCAGTTTGTCTCAGTTTGTCTCAGCTTGTCTCAGTGAGTCTCAGTTTGTCTCAGCTTGTCTCAGTGAGTCTCAGTTTGTCTCAGCTTGTCTCAGTTTGTCTCAGCTTTGGTCTCAAAGTTTGTCTCAGCTTGTCTCAGTGGTCTCAGCTTTGTCTCAGTTGTCTCAGCTTAGTCTCAGTGAGTCTCAGTTTGTCTCAGTTTGTCTAGTTTGTCTCAGTGAGTCTCAGTTTGTCTCAGTTTGTCTCAGCTTGTCTTCAGTGAGTCTCAGTTTGTCTCAGTTGATCTCAGTTTTGTCTCAGTTTGTCTCAGTGAGTCTCAGTTTGTCTCAGTTTGTCTCAGTTTGTCTCAGTTACAGTAAATACAGTAATATGAATGAGAGTTGTGGAGGGTACCTGCTGTGCAGACGCTGAGGAAAGAAGCCATATGATCCTCATCTTACTTCACAAACTCTGAGAGGGGCTCTAAAAACCAGAGACGTCAGCTGACCTGCAGCGTCATCTGTTGCTAGGGAGACAATCCAGGGTAAAATCACCCAGAGAGAAGAGTGAGAGAAGAGTGAGAGAAGAGTGAGAGAAGAGTGAGAGAAGACTGAAACACAGAGTCAGACTAAAGACTGAAACACAGAGACAGACTAAAGACTGAAACACAGAGACAGACTAAAGACTGAAACACAGAGTCAGACTAAAGACTGAAACACAGAGACAGACTAAAGACTGAAACACAGAGACAGACTAAAGACTGAAACACAGAGACAGACTAAAGACTGAAACACAGACTAAAGACTGAAACACAGAGACAGACTAAAGACTGAAACACAGAGTCAGACTAAAGACTGAAACACAGAGACAGACTAAAGACTGAAACACAGACTAAAGACTGAAACACAGAGACAGACTAAAGACTGAAACACAGACTCAGACTAAAGACTGAAACACAGACTCAGAC